TCTCAACCCCACAATTATTAACAATATTACTGTGTTACCATCTTTACTGGCGTGAGGTGAGTGTACAACTACAAGTACAAGTACGATTAATGATGGGATTTGCTGCTAGTCTAATAAACCGACAAACAAAAGACCACAACTTCTTCTTAAGTGCATATCGAGGGCTATAACCCTTGTTAAGACGGAGTTAATTTTAAGAAGGTAAATTTTGTGACCACAATTTCTGATCAAAATGTTACGTGGTAATTTGAGCTAACGAGAATACTATTTTTTATTGCCGTCGACTCAGTAGATTTACCTTTTACTTTAGTCTTGTGTATGTTATTTTAAATTTGAAGCTCAAAATTATCATAATTTAGATGGTCGCATATAGTTAATAGTACATACTGAAACAGTACAGAAATTCGATGCCAGTGATTATAATTAATATCAAAGATTTTGTTGCTGCGTAATCGTTTGAGAGATCATTTAATCGTGCGCAAATCCTAAATAGTCAAGTGCATGTTATATAAAACTGTTGTAAGTTTCGAGCATTATTAAAAATATCCATTGTTGTAATATGGTATTTAGAGATATCTTTTAGGATATCTTAGTTTAGCATAACGTTTAAGGGACGTAGAATTTAGTATGTGTTTCCGGGTATTATATAATAACCAATGTTTTTATATGTTCGTATTTGGGAGTTACACATTTTGAGTGTAAGTCGGTTGGCTGGCAGAACTACTGTCAGACTAACTGTCTGTAACGAGCCGTCCGCTCACTTTGCACCTGACTAACAGCCAGACCTGTGGTTGGTCCTCGCGGACGCAGGGTGACTGCTAGTGGAGTGCTCATTGGCGAGACTGCGAGTCACGTGGTGCAGGCAGATGCGTTGTGCCGTCACGCAGTGTGGCGTGACGAGTTTTTAGAGTATACCGGGAGAGCCGGATGTGGAGAGCTCACTTCTTAGTTGCCCCTTAATCATTTTAAGGGATTCAAATTGACGGTAGCCAGTCTAACTGAGCACTACCATTTGTGATTAGTCACGTCAATTGATTGGAGCGAACACTTGGAAGTTTTTATCTGTTGACGTTCACTTTGTATTACTTTTCCATTTATTTAATTCTCATTTTTAGTTACTCGTTTCATTTCTATTACACGGTACGCCCTGCCGTTCGTGCCACGTGACTAGAGCTTGACTAGCATACACTAAATACCAAGAAACGCGGTTTTCTATACATATTGAAAAAGATTCCTTGATTGTCATCGAATCTGACAGATTCATGATCTTGTCATTCCTTTACAAAGTAAAAATTATGAGTTTAGACGTCTCACAAACTTAACATTTTTTTTGTTAATACTAAACAGTATATTCAATCTATAGACTATATCTTATAAAATATATGTTTAACATGTCTGGATCACGGACCAGTGCCGGAACAGGATACCTTAGTATCCTATTCTCTAACTTTACTGTTCAACTATTGCAATACAACTGGCCAAGAAGAATAATCTATGCCCAAAAACCCAACCCGGCCATTCATAGACACGTAGATTTTGTGTTATCTTCAAATCTCGAAATTTGTAAGAAGATAACCACTATTTACCACTTTTAACCATTGGAATCTCCGCTAATAAAACGACTTCTGATTGTCGTAGAAGGTTATAGATTGAACCGTTGTGTTTATAACATAAGAGAGAACAAATTTTATTCGCCAACCTTTGGATTAAATAATTAATTAATCAAATTATTTAAAATATCCAAAAATTTTAAAAATTATTTTCGATTCTAAAATAGTTTTAAAATTGCATAACACGAATAATTAACAATTTTTCATTTAATTGATTGGGAAATCGACGCTGCACTTAATTTAACCATGTATACTAGTTACTTATGAGTCCTCAGCTGGGCACATTGGTGCAATTGTCCTGACATTTTTGAGGCAGGTTGAAATCACATGTATTCATGCTTTTTGCATGAACAGGCATGGCCACAACTGACTTTAAACAGTTGCAACTGATGTTTTGGGAATGAGCTTTATCGGAGCTGTATCAATAAGAGTGGTCAACTGGTACATGTGATCCTTTGTTCCTCTTCCATCCCCAGCTTATCGGATCTAGTTATTGTCAATCCCACGCCTGCAAGCTGATGGTAAACACGATAAGAAGGTTGTTCAGCTGCCCCAAGATGTTGGAGGGAGCTGTTCGCACTTGATGTCTGTTGTTGAAGATTTACGACTTCTGTTTCAAGTACCGAAAGTCTGGCTTCATTAGTCAATGATCTCGATTTTGATGAAATCAGCTGCGCATCATAAGGTCTCCGACATGCTTTGGTAAGCTGGTGTAGAATTTGCCGCGAATTTCAAAAAAGCTATATATTACACTTTCATCGATAGATGCAATCGTTCTGAATAGCCGATCCTTACCAACTCCGTTGAGTCTTGTAATCAACATAATCGTTGTTTGCGAACATGCTGTCAAACTGCACATTGCAAAAGGCCATTATATTCGGAATATGAGATGAATTCTGAAAAGATGCCGGCGAAACAGATGAAATTGACGTAGTATCAAGAAAATTAGATTATTATAGTTAGCGAAATTGATCTGGTAAATCAATGATTTCCTAATCGATAACCATGCGACCAGGGTGCTAGATTACCGTAATTGGGCTTCTGCTCGATCCTATAGGGGGAATCTAGTGCACTAAGCTTCGGAGGAAAACAATAACCACTTCACGTTGCACTGCCACCTCCTACTAAAGGCCCTTTGGGGGTATTGAAATTAATTAAAGCAGTGTATTTTTGACGCTGATTTCGGAAAATCGAATGCCCCAAGACGTAGGGTAAAAATGCCTAACGTATGTGTACTATTACCACCTCCCCCCTCCCCGCACACAATAACTTACCCTGCCAGAACCCGGAACTTGAGGATTTATCATTTGTGCGATCTTCTAGGTTACAGAATGGACATTTGTTTAAACTGTGTTCGTGAACTAAGAATGGTTCTGCCTCTGTTACAACCGGTTCATCTTCATTAGCCGTAAGATTCTTTGGATCTGGTATATGGTCACTGCTTGCATTAACAAACAATAGACGTTCACTCCTGAGCGGGAATCGGTCAGGACGTTGTACTTTGCCGTTAATTTTGTTCTGGACCAGGGGTTCGTTGATCCAATCTGTTGGTGCGGGACGGTTTTGATTAATCATTACAGAGTATGAAAGGCTTCAGGACTGTATCTATCGTTTTCAAATTTGCTGGGCATAGTTTAAAAGTTAGTGCACTTAACTATAAGATAACTTAGTTAATAGTACCTGGGGACAGCAAACCCTTTCCATATTTCATTCCATACAAATTTACTTTGTCAATCATTCGCCTCTTAAAGCTATTCACCGGAATTAACTCCTCATTTGCTGGTAAATTAAACACTTGTATTGGTTAAGAATGCATCTAGTCGCGCTCGCCGCTGACATCAAATTAAAAGACTAAATCAACGGTTATAACAAAACATATTACTTATTATTGTATATTTGTTTGACTGTTACTTAATAGAAGCAGCACGCCGTTTTAGTCTTCAGGCACACGATGTGTTCTGCTGTTGTCAAAATATTAACTATTTCGAGTGATGTCAGTCCTCGATTCTTGGCAGATTTCAACTTTTTACGGGTAGAGTCGTAACATAAAGCAAAAGTGAAGCTTACAACTTCCGAAACGATAAACTGTCAATCATGAGTTATTTAAGATCGTAGGATTCAGTTTCTCTTGTTTAAACTAACCAGTTCAACAATCCTAGTTAAGCACAATACTAAGTCGATATTATATGATGTTCAAATATTTATTAGCTATAGCATCGTACAAATTTCGACGTTTATTCCATTGATCTGGATCTCTTTTATCTGTTATCTAATCTATGTAGACGGTGTTTGTTCTATTATTCAAGTTAAATATTACATTTTACCGTTTTATCGTCACGGCAAGATTTTTGGTTAAAATTTATATTTTTGAAATTTTTAAAACAATTTTACTTATTATATAATTAATTAATTGATTATTATATAATAAAAGGTTGGCAAATAAAAAGATGTTTCTCTAATGTTGTTGAACACATCGGTTCAATCTAGAACTTCTACGACATTCAGAAGTGTTTTATTAGCGGCGGATCCAATGTGGGAATAAAAGTGGTAAATAGTCCAAGTCCAAAATATTGAAAGTGAAATTTTCAAAAGTTTTATAAAAAATTAGGTCATTGTTCGTGTAATGTATTGTGCAAAATTGTTATAAAAAAATTTTTTGATATATTTGAAAATTTACCGGTGATTCGGAATCAGCGTCCAAAAATACACCGATCTAGATCAGTTTCATGCCCAAAGGGCCTTTTCACAAGAATTTTCTTAAAATTTGGGCGAGCGATTTAGTAGGAGCGGTTAACTGCAGCCGTTTCAAAAAACAATTTGTTTTGGTATTCATTGTAAATGTTTTTTGTTTTTTCGTGCGATGCGCGCGCTCCCTCGTTAATATGTAATAATAGGTGACAAATAGCAAAATAATTTGATTCACAATTAATGTAAAAGTAATCTTGTTTCCCGTCGCACAGGGGGGGCTGAAACCAGGTTTTCGATCAAATGCTGCCATTTGTAGTCAAACGTCGCCAACAGTTGCTCTCGTCCAATGAAATCGCTGCATTTTGCAAGTCAGTATGCATAATTGAATTACATATATTCATATATATGCGGAGCTTGGCTTGTAGCGCGATGCACTACTGGGTCGCGCGCGCATCAAATATGCTTCTCGCAACCACAGATCGGCGAGATGCGAAGGATTGACATCTTAAATCAAAAGCTTGGCTTACATAATGCAGCGATTTCATTGGACGAGAGCAACTTTTGGCGACGTTTGACTACACATGGCAGCGTTTGATCGAAAACCTGGTTTCAGTTCCCCCTGTGGTCGGGCGTTGTTAGGTAGGGGTATAGTGAATTGAGGGTAAACTGGTTTGCAATATCTCAGGTTTGCAATATCTCAGGTTTGCAATATCTAACGGCCTGTATTATAATTATAGTAATTTATAGAATAGTTTTACTAAAAGACTGGTAGTCGGTCTAGACTGGTAGTCAGATTAGTTTTGAAGTCTTTATCGGTAGGGTTGCAATGTCCCACGGCGTGAAGCTGTAGTTAGTATTTTAAGCCGTTGTAAATTAGTAGTTATTTGGAATTGTGACGTTCCCGGTGGGAAAAGTAGTGGCTTGAAGATTGTTAAAGTTTCAAATTTATTAGAACTTATAGTTAAAAGAATACTTACAATTATTTTAACAGCATTGATTTTTGATTATTGTGTTGACGAACTAGCCGAGGTGTTACAAGAGTGCCATGAGAATCAACTCCCCCTTCAACTCCCCAAAGACCTGTCAACCAGCAGTCTACAAAAAGGGAAGCTCGCCTGCTGCTCGCTGCCTTCCGCCTTTCGCCTTCTGCATTCACCTGTTCCTATCATGGCCCGGGGTCTTGCTCTGCTGTATCCGTTCTCTCTCCACATGTTACTCATTTCTATTATAGATTCCTCGCACTACTAGTACTACCTGTTCCCGATAGATCCTTCCAGAATTAGGCTATGGAGTTCCTTTCCTGAGGTAAAAATCTTACGTAAACCTTAATCCATCGTTCATAATCATAGCACTTTTCCACTTGTTAACGTTGACGATTGTAGTATTATAGTTATTTCCTGTGTACTAATTATTAGTTCTAATAGTTATTGGTTTCCAGGCAATATGACGGTGATACCCAACCCACTTGCTCTGCCTGTCCTCACCTAAGCTCCACCAGTCGTATTGCTTCGTAAGTTTATTACGTCTTCATTAAGAGGTTCCTACGATAGATTTTCCCTTAATTTAACTTAATCAATCTGAATATTGTCACTACTTAAACGCTCCGTACTTATAATTATCTTACTTCAGATTGATTCCCCCCTCCTTCCTCGAGAACCGTTCGTCACTATGTTAGATCCTCGGATGACCATGCAAGATGGTTCAGTTCTAGTTGACATTCCACTATATGAAAAGACCAGATCGCCACTTTATATTCTTATTCCTTGGTTAGTAAATTATACTTATAGTGATTCTAGTTCGTAAGTTATCTAGAAGTAGGAAATTAATACCTATATTCCGTATAATTAGTGTGGTCTATTAAATTTGTATTGATATATGATCTCTTCAGAGAGAGAGAGAGAGAACCGGAACAGCGACCTCGTGAATCATCCTATTTAATCGCTTCACCCTCGCCACATTCGCTACTACTTCAATTATTGGGGTAAATGGACATTAAGACTAAGTTATGAGATATGAGAGTTAAATTAATATTGTAGTCCTATTTAACCCAATTATTTTACAACCCTTTATTAATTTGTTTTAATTGGTTATCTTCCAGATATAAATTCACCTAAAATTCTGAATCCATAATTACAATAGAAATTACTGTCCTAAAATTGTATCTGTACAAAGAGAGTTTGGGTTTGGACTGTGCCCTGAGTGAGTCTCAAACCGGGAGGTATTCCATAATATCGGAACCTGAATTTCCATACTCTAGTTAAAAGGAGCCCATTATACGTAGTTAAATTAATGTCATCTAAATTTAATGAAATATAATAAATAAATAATCTCTGGAAGTCATGGAAAATTGGAGCATTAAATAGGCCGTTAAGTAAGTTGTCGTGCTGAAACCCGAGTACGCCTCTTAACAGGCGTCGAATCTGAATTGCGAGCGTGCTTGATTCACGATGTCAATCCTTCATCTAGTCTTTCGCATCTCGGCGAGGCGCGCCAAGTGGTACCAGGTACGGTACTTGATTGACAATGTCAATCCATCGAGATCGTTTCTCTGCGAGAATGCTAGTTTGCGCGGCGCGTCGAAGCGGCGAAGTCCTCCAAGTACGGTGCATTTCGTCAATCTAACGATGGTTATTGATTTCACATAGCCGGATGTGTATACGCGTACTGCGTTACGCGCTTGTTTCACAAATAGAATTTGCCGCCTTCGGCGCGATCGCGCGCTACTGCAAGCGAGAGGCCGAGAGGGCTCTCGTTAGAGCAAGTTATTGATTTACCAAATGATTTATGTAATGAGCGCCATTAGTTGGCACAACATTTTTGTCTCTGATTTTGATAATTTTGGTACCAAAAGTTGCCTTTAAGACGTAAGTGTGAATAATCAAATTCACCGTGTAGCACAATAATTTATTTTGAGTTAAGCTAAGTTTAACTGCACACAGGAGGACTATAGTGCAAAGAAATTGCTGCTAACTGCTGCTCAAGCTGCTGCTCACTGTACTGCTGCTGTCGCGCGCGCGCCCATAGCAGCAGTGAGCAGCAGTGAGCAGCAGTGAGCAACAGTTGGCATCAGTTTCTTTGCACTATAGTCCTCATGTGTGCAGCCGTCCCAAAAAAATACAAAATATGGCGCAGTTTATATCTCCGCCAAAAGCAAATTTGTAAGCACTCACGCGCATTATATCAAAATGTGATTTTAAATTTTCGCATTGGATGGTTGCACATTGGATGGTTGCTATGCCGCGCCCCAGCGCCCTGCAGCATTACAATATTTATTCCTTCAATTGAGACCTTCGGCCCGCATTTAAGCTACTCGTCTGATACCTTTATTTTTTAACAGCTTATTTTTAAAACATTTGATCAATTATTCTATCTTATTTTGTTCCATTTTAAACTGTACGATCAGTTGTGAATTTGTTTAATACATTTGAGTTTACAGTTGCAGTGCACTTCATCAGACTAGAATTTCAGTTGACTAATGTTTTCTTCTCTTAAATCAGCTTATTGTTTAACATTTTATTAATTATTCTGTCTTATTTTGTTCCATTTTAAACTGTACGATTAATTGTGAGTGTGTTTTATATACATTTGAGTTCATAGTTGTGAACTTTATTTCCAGTATTTTATGTGACAGAGATTAGTTAAGGTAAAAGTGTGTCAAACAGTATATATACATTCAATTAACGCAAGTGATGCAATTGGCAGAGCACAATCAAATTAAGTGTTGCAATTGGCAGAGCACAATTCATTGCTACCAATAATTTTTTCAAAATTTTTTTAACAAAACACATGATCTACTCCATTATAGGGGCAGGGATGAGGTTGTATGAGACTTCTGATAGCTGAATCTCACGTTTGGTGTCCACCTTCTTTCCTCGGTACCCTCGTAGAGCAATAAGAGTTGTTCAACTAATATTTGCTTCTCCTAAATCAGCTTATTTTTAACATGTGATCAATTATTCTGTCTTGTTTTGTTCCATTTTAAACTGTACGATCAGTTGTGTATGAAAATTATAATGATTGTCACGAGATGTTTGATCTAGTTATTAGAGTTGAGCTAATTCTAGTCCTTGTTATGACAGTATTAACACTGTAATAGTTGTCACGAGATGTTTGATCTAGTTGTAAGAGTTAAGCTATTCCTAGTCCTTGATATGACAGTATTAAAACTGTAATAATTGTCACGAGATGTTTGATATAGTTATTAGAGTTGAGCTATTCCTAGTCCTTGTTATGACAGTATTAAAACTGTAATAGTTGTCACGAGATGTTTGATCTAGTTATTAGAGTTGAGCTATTCCTAGTCCTTGCTATGACAGTATTAAAACTAAAATATTTGTCACGAGGTGTTTGAGCGAGTTGTTAGAGTTGAGCTATTCCTAGTCCTTGTTATGACAGTATTAAAACTGACAATAATTGTCACAAGATGTTTGATCTAGTTGTTAGAGTTGAGCTATTCCTAGTCCTTGTTATGACAGTATTAAAACTGTAATAGTTGTCACGAGATGTTTGATCTAGTTATTAGAGTTGAGCTATTCCTAGTCCTTGCTATGACAGTATTAAAACTACAATAGTTGTCACGAGATGTTTGATCTAGTTGTTAGAGTTGAGCTATTCCTAGTCCTTGTTATGACAGTATTTAAACTGTAATAATTGTCACAAGATGTTTGATCTAGTTGTTAGAGTTGAGCTATTCCTAGTCCTTGCTATGACAGTATTAAAACTACAATAGTTGTCACGAGATGTTTGATCTAGTTGTTAGAGTTGAGCTATTCCTAGTCCTTGCTATGAAAGTATTTAAACTGTAATAATTGTCACGAGGTGTTTGAGCTAGTTGTTAGAATTCAGCTATTCCTAGTCCTTGATATGACAGTATCAAAACTACAATAGTTGTCACGAGATGTTTGATCTAGTTGTTAGAGTTGAGATATTCCTAGTCCTTGATATGACAGTATTAAAACTGTAATAATTGTCACGAGGTGTTTGAGCTAGTTGTTAGAATTCAGCTATTCCTAGTCCTTGTTATGACAGTATTAAAACTGTAATAATTGTCACGAGATGTTTGATCTAGTTGTTAGAGTTGAGCTATTCCTAGTCCTTGCTATGACAGTATTAAAACTACAATAGTTGTCACGAGATGTTTGATCTAGTTGTTAGAGTTGAGCTATTCCTAGTCACTAGTCCTTGCTATGAAAGTATTTAAACTGTAATAATTGTCACGAGGTGTTTGAGCTAGTTGTTAGAATTCAGCTATTCCTAGTCCTTGTTATGTATAATATCTTCTCCCATGCTATTAATGTGCCAAGTTCGATTTCGGTTTCTTGCACTTTACTTATATGTAATATTTTTCTTCCTATAAACTCAAAACTGGTATGTTAGGAAGCAAAAGAGGCTGTTTAATGTAACTTCAGGAAGGCGCGACTGTGAAAATAGTTGAGAAAACTACGCGCATTAATGCTAAAATGTGATGCTTTTGGCGGGGATATAAACTGCGCCAAAAAATATGTCTTGATATTCGTTGACAATTGTTAATGGTCTGGCTCGGCGCGCGCTATTTCGTAGCACTTGCCATCGGGCAACATTTCGAGAAGAAAGCGGCGCGCGCTACTTCGAAGAAATTTAGACGAGTACAGAGTAACATTAAACATCCGTCAGGATATTCGTTGTAAATGTTTTTGTTTTTGTGCGCGCTCCCTCGTTAATAAGTGAGTACAAATTGTTTACAACCTACCAGGACGCGCGCCGAGTTGGACTCGTCGACGGTCCAATATATGGAACAGATATTTTACGAGTATCACCCGTTAAGTATCACCCGTTAAAGTACAAATAGCAAAAATAATGTTATTCAAAATTAATGTAAAAATTAATTGACGATGTCAGCTCGGCGAGGCACAGTAACGCATGCATGAAATAAAAGTTAATAAGATAATTGATAATGTTTTTGATACATTTTTAAAAATTACTGACAATTAAATTGATAAGCATTGATTAATGTTGGTGGGGAAATATTTATTATATATTTTTTTCACATAGTGCGATGATATTTTGTAAACGTGTGCACGCGGTTGTCACGACGTGATAGTCTGATACAACAAGTATTCACTATTCACATGTTATTGAACTGTGAACAGGATATAGTTAATTGACGATCGCGATGTCAATTCATCGCAGCTCGCCGAGGCACAGTAGCGCATTTCGTTAATTGACGATGTCAATTCATGGCAGCTCGGCGCGGCACAGTAGCGCATCTCACCGATGTCGCTGTGAGAAGCCTCATTGAGTGCGCGGCGCGGCACAGTAACGCATCGCGCTACAATTACAACGCATTTCGCCGATCTAGCGAGTGTGTCGCTGTGAAAAGCTCATTGAGTGCGCGGCCTCATTGAGTGCGCGGCGCGGCACAGTAACGCATCGCGCTACAAAGGATATAGGTGCTGTTAAATATGGCTGCAATTACAATTTACTAATTATGCAGGCAAGCGGATCCAAATCATAAAATATGTATCTTTAGGCCCCAATTTTGCATGCCAGGACCATTTCAGATCAATATAAGATCAAGATGTCTCAATATCACTAATAGTATTGGAAATATATTATTTTCAGTGGCGTAACAAAGGGCCCGGCCGCCAACTCCGCTGTGTGGAGGGGGGGGGCGCAATCTTAGGGGGGGGGGGGGGAATCGGCGTTTGAATGTACTGTGGGACAATTTGGAAAAAACTTAACTACGGTACTACTACTAGCAAAACTGCGTGCTTTGCTCTAGAAACACACTTTTTTTTTAATTCACCGGCGTATCCGCGTATCGTCTAAAATCATATAATTTGTTCAATTTTAGGGAAGGACGCCAAAAGGGGAAAGGGCGCCAACTTGTAGGTTTATAACCTACCAGGACGCGCACGACGGTCCTTTGAAACAAATATTTTACGAGTATCACCCGTTAAGCGCCAACAGGGGGGGGGGGGGGGGGTAGGGTGGATGGTTTTTTAATCGTATTTATGGAATTGTTACCGTTGTAAAACTTACATTATGACAGTTCAGATGGCGAAAGTTTTATCGAAAATGGACCTGTCAT